TAAAGTACTTTAACAATTGAAGAAAAGTTTATTATTTGTAAAAAAGCAATATTATTAAATAAACATGTATTTCAAAGATAAATTTTATGATTTTTTTTTATTTATAAACATATATAGAAAGCTTTATAGTAAAAGCAAAGATGCCACTTCTCGTAAAATATTAACATCTCTAGATAAAAATACGAGTGTAAAAAGATAACAATAGTAATAATATAGAAAATAATAAATAGCATACATAATTCACAGATGTAAATAGGCTTTATGTAAATAAATTTAAGCGAATATAATTTAAATAAATAAATTTTTACATATATTTTTATAAGTAGAAAAGATTCATATGTATGGGGGTATAGTATTCGAGATCCAGTGTTATATATAAACACTTTTAAAAAGTCAAAAATATACAATAGTTTATAAGGTTAAAATTTATTGCATGTGATTTTATTAGGAATATACGCAATGGAGAAGAAAAAATAAAGTGTTAAACTTCTATTTTAGTAATTCATGAATTATCTTTGTTACAATAAGAAGAAATATAACGTGTTTTATGACGAATAACTGCCCAAATATAAATTTATAACCATTAATAAGCCTATTGTTTAGTAAACTAGTAAATGATGAAATGGTTAAAAATCGATCCATCATTTGATTAATATTTACACTTAAAAAATCTCTACAGATGTTATAATGTGTTATGCTTATTTTATTAGACGATAACATCATATATTTGGATTACTGTCAAGCTACAAGTTAATTAATTATGTTACTGGTGAAATTTCTAAAGTATTAATCTTGATCTCACAGCTGTTTTCAATTTTTTTAATGACATATATCTCATAACTAATATGGCATTCATTGTTTGACAATGTATTTATTAAATATATTTAGATAATAAGTAACGAAAGAATTGTTCAATATTCGGTTAGAGATTTATTTTAAATATCAAATAGATGATAAAATATTCTCTTGTAAATATTCCGATCCTACTCGAGATATGATACGTGATCCCCCTCATCTCCTGGACCTTTAACTGTCAAAATTTAGTACCATCGATTTCCCTGATACACAAATGTCTCTATAAAATGTTAGAAAATATCGACAAAAGATATACATACAGAAGAAAAAACAATTTTTTATATATTTTTCGATGTTTCAAGATCTCCATAAGTCTAAAAATTGAAATCTTGGGGGCTTTGTCGCACTTCCCTTGGAAAGGAGAAAGGTTGGAAAACTAATATTTAAAAGTACAAAGCTTGGAAAGATTTAGTATGAATAAACAGTGTGAAATAGTGTTAAATTTAAATAGCAAATTTTTATTATTTGCTATTTTTTATAAATTAAATTAATTTTTTTTAATAAATAAGCGTACAAATATACGTGAGCCGTTCACAGCCCGGCACACGTATTTGTAAAATATAAGTGACTCGTACAACATGGAATCCATATAAAATGGATTTATCAACAATGTTATAGGGGGGTCTACTGTATTGTTATGTTTGTTTGAGATTCGAGTTCTAGTTGCTCTTTAAAATAGGAAGATAATATACAGTCGACCCCCCTATAACACTGTTGATAAATCCATTTTATATGGATTCCATGTTGTACGAGTCACTTTAGATTTTACAAATACAGTACGTGAGCCGTTCACAGTCCGGCACACGTATTTGTAAAATCTAAGTGACTCGTACAACATGGAATTCATATAAAACGGATTTATCAACAGTGTTATAGGGGGGGTCGACTGTATATTTTTTACTTTTATTTTGTTTTATTTTACATTTTATATTGCTTATATCGGAGTGGCGTGATGGAATAAGGCAATGCAACATATATGATCTATCAAGGAGAACTTTCTGTGGAAAACTGTACTTATTTAGACGACCTTTATTTAGTGTTCAGTGGTTTTATCTATTCGGCCATTAATGGGAATTTATCGATGTAATTGATTATTTTTTATTTATTTGAGTAGGACCAGAAATAGAGAACATTTCTTTAATTTGAAGAGACCATTTCAGAGAGATCTCTTAAGGATGAAAATAGTGCTGTAGAAAAATTTCTAACCCACGAGTTTGTGGGAAAATTTTGAAATATTTTGTCTTCTGAAAAAGTCCTGGAAATCCAAGAGTTATTTTATTTTATATTATTATTTTTTTTTAATCAGTATCGTAGGTTTTATTTACGATGCGATGAAAAACAACACAATAACAAAATCAAATAATTAAATTAGAATACATAAATGATAAAAACTCTAATTATTAAACAATGTACAGTAATTATAGTATACTAAGAACGAAGGAAAATGGAGGAAATTAACAGTTGTATAAATACCAATTGTACGAGCGCCACTTTATTAAAAGAAGAAAGTTATACATATGTCATTTATGAAACAGAAAATTTTGTAACTAAATGAACATCATCTATAATTTTAATAAATAACCAAATAGCAAAATGCAAAAATTCTTAATCTGAAATTAAAGAGTTGTTTGCATTTAGCCAAAAGATGAAATACATCTTCCATGGTACAAAAAAAAAAAAATAATGCTCAAATGAAACGAATTGCAGCCAATCTGTATAAAACACACATTATAAGAAATATCACTATTATATAAATAATTACCAAAGAAACATTAACTGGGAAATTTTTACAAAAATTAATATAATTACTATTTAACAAATAAATATTATCTAAATCAAACAGAAAATTAAAATTAATTCTATTTTACTTCAAAACAAATTTAAATAATATCCAACGTGAGCCCTGAGACTGCAACAAAATTTTTCAAGTAATTCTTATCTTGTTAGTCTATGATCTTCCAAAGCAAGAGTCAGCAAGGACTAGGAAAGGGTCCGATTTAGAATAATATAAGTAATAGGCAATAAAATACATTTCATTTTCAGCAAATAACTAGGAGTATAACGAGAAAGATTATAAATTGTTCGATAAATCCAGTCTGAATTGAATTTAGATTAGCTTGGAAACATCAAACATCTGACCAATACAGTACAGAATTTATCACTATGGAATCTAATAATGGCATATAAGCATAGACACCTACACGTTATATGAAGATACAATAAGTATACCCTCTTTTCTACACCATTCTCATATTTACAAATTTATATTCCTAACTGAAAATAAGTATCAACCCCAAAAAATATTGACAACGTAAAAGATGATATATATCTCATAACTAATATGGCATTCATTGTTTGACAATGTATTTATTAAATATATTTAGATAATAAGTAACGAAAGAATTGTTCAATATTCGGNAGTTAATTAAAATAATATATATCATTTGCCTAGATAGGCTTATATTATTTTAATTAACTACCATTTGATTTGATATTTAATATCATTACAAAAAAATATAATAAAATATCATGCAACGAGCAATTATTTATTGTGACATCGTCACAATGCTACAATTTTTAAGCATATTTTATTTATTTAAAATATATGCTCTCCATCTCAAATTAGTACTGTAGTGTTTTGCTCCTGTACAGTACATCGTACTTTTCCGTTAGGAATAGAGTCGTGCCAGTCATCTAGCTACTTTCAGGGAAACATTTTTGAATTGAAATAATATGACTTCGTTTTTCTTATATAGTTTATCAGGGCCTTCTATACTGACCGTTTCCATATCTGCTCTTATATGTCATCTGTATGACTCCGTTCTCGAAATTAAGAAAAGACAGACGAACAGACTGCGATAGTGGAGAATTTATAAGTTTACAATGTTTTAAAATTGCAGTCCAATGGCAATTAATCTTTAATTACAGTCAAAAGCTAGCATTTTCCGTTCATTTAAGCGCAATAAATTTAATCAAATCTCTGCTGTACAAGTATAAAGTTAATAATTAGGGATCCGACATGATTCAAATCATACGAAAGGGATCATTGAACTTAACGTTTAAGATCCGTTTAAGAGTATATTAAATGATATTTTCTATTTAAATAGATTTACGAAAACACAACTATATACCAGTTATTGTTATATACATTGTAAGTTTATCTTTACTGTCCATTATAGATTTTATTAATTTGACATAACAATCAACAGTGTAGGGAGAACACTGCATTATGATTCCTTAAGTTAAGTACTGTATTACTTCCAATTAAAATTGTTCCTGAAATATTAAAGCGAGATTTTCAAGAATAAATCGAATGTTAATTAAAAGTAAATATTCTTGAAAATAATTTAATAAATAGCAAATAATGTTAGCAATGTATTTAAAATAAAAAATAATTAGCAGAAAATATAAAATAATCGATAAAAATTTTACAATATTTGCCTAAATTTTTATTTAGAGACTTTTCTGGAAACAAAATACATCAAATTCAATCAAGCAATTTTCCAGTTTTGACGAAAATAAAAATTTTGTAAGTATATTTGATTCTTATAAAAAATAAATAAATAATTAAATACCACTTCAATAAATTAATAATATTAGTATCAGTAATTTTAATCTTAATAATGATATTGTTAATTTATTGATGTAAAAGAAATAAATACAGTGAACCTCTATACAATGCGGGATATGTTTCGCCTTATATGAATCCGCTTTATAGGGAATGCGTTGTATGGAGGTTCACTGTATACCTAAAGAAGAAATGAAAAGATTAATATGGAGATAAGTTACCAGGAAAGCTAACAAAAACAGTAATTAGTTGTCAATAAATTGGAAAAATATCTAGAGAAAGATGCTTTTGAGGATGATACAAGTAGATTTCTGCCTGATCCGTAAAGTCAGGATGATGAAGATCTATCATCTTTAAATGATGTATAATTTTGATATTCTATTNTCCTCGTAAAGGCTTCAATGAATACTTGTAAATAGACTAAACCTTAAACGTTAAATAAAAAAAAACAATTCAGCATCTGTAGATTTTGCATTACAAAAGGTATTATCACCAAACTATGTGACTTTCGAATAGAAGTGAGTACTTCAATTATCCGCAAATACCTAAAACGTAACAATTTGAAAGCCCAAGACCTATGAAATTACATAAACAGAAACGTCTTAATTTTGTCAAACGTTATAAAGATTGGACATTAGAAGATTGGTCAGATGAATCTAAAATTAATAGAGTTGGTTCAGAGAGAAGATGGATATGGACTACATCGATGAAGTCTATAACTGAGCGAGAAATACAAATAATATTGAAATTTGGTAGTGGTAGTCTTATGGTCTGGGCTTTATTACCTATTCTGGGCCTTCTATACCTAATGAAATGGATAGAGTTATTTACACTGAGATACTTGACAATTATTTGTTACAATTTGTTGATTATTACCATATTGATAGGAGCTCTTTCATTCATCAGCAAGATAATAATCAAGAACATACTTACATGTTAAATCAATAGAATTATTTTACTTATTCTATTTTTAAAGTATTTTTTAAAGTTTACTTACTATATTTCTGTTGTCTTATACCTTATAAGAATGCGTGCTTCTTTATAAAGTAAGAAACTTTGTAGATTATGCATTGTTTTTATCAGTAATTTTTATCATAATCATATCTTTTATTACAAAGAAAGTGTTGATTTAAATTTTTAAAATTCTACATCTATTATCATAACTTTTAATAACCTTTCAGGCGAAAGCCATTTAACGATTAATAAATTATATTTGTTTAGCATGTTCCTTAGATTTTGATGCTCTATTATATATAACATAAATTTAAAATTATAGTATAAATATTAATTTAGTAAAAGATAATGTAATTTAGACTTATCAGTTACTACTGTCATTCTACAGCACTACCTCAAAATGATTTGAGCTTATACAGTGTACTGATAACAGATATTGAAGGTTCATTATAAACATTTTGAACGAATGAATTAATAATTCTTAATCGTAGTTTACTCAAAAAATTAATCAATCAAATCGTTCCTGTACAGGAGAATGTCTATGTTTCATTCTAAGAACTTCTATTTTTATTCAGTCTACACAAACAGAAAAAAGAGATTAGTCTATTATTCTAATGTAGCATTATCAAACCATATGATCCTTCCTCTTTCTCATGTTACTTTACTCTCTATTTTTCTTTTCAGTAGTAGTTTCTGCAATGAATCATGTCTTAATACTGTATATAATCAATGAGTTTACTTTTCCTGGCCTTGATAACTTTATGACAATTTAATCCGTTTTCATTATTTCTAACATTGTTATATTATTTATCTTGAAGTTCGACGTGTCTTTAAATTAATCCTGTAGAATATAAAAATATATATTTAATTCATAAAAGAGATATATGACTTCTTTAGTGTTGTCTTCTTAAAAACAATTAGAATTGTGCTAATGCCCTACACATTACATAGGTCAAAGAATATTGATGAAAGATTACCTAATAACTAGAAGAACTTTTACTGCTTAGCTAAGACAATAGAGTGATACACACTCAAAATACAATACATCGATTCCATTTTTATTCTGGGAAATATTATAATAAATCTCATTATTAATATGGTATACAGTTTTATAAATAATATTCATAACAATAGATTTATAAATTACTTAATTACTTTTCTGATACTATAATTATTAGCCTATAAATTATATAAGAATGTCTCGCCAATTTAACTTCGGAGAAATTTACAATTTTAAAATGCATTCAAATATATTACCTTCCTCCGAAGCTTTGTAGAATTTGAAATATTTATCAATAAATATCGCTTCTCCGTAATAAGTTCTATATATAACATTTTTAAATGAAGAATTTCTAGCCTTGACCCATTACAATACGGTTCAATAAATGACTTTCGACATTAAAACCATATTTCAGATCAAGTTGTCATATTGTTCTGTTGCATTATTGATCAATAGGAGCATCAATAAATTAATCTTAAATTTGATAAACTACATCTTCTATTATGAAATATGCAATATAATTCATTCTTATTGCTCTAATTATTTATGTAAAGAAGTAAAAAAAAAAGTAATTTTTTTATGCAATAAATTAAAAATTTATTACAGAAATTATTCTTTTTTTTCTAAAGAGAAGAATAAAATATTACATTAAAAATTAATGTTTAATACAATATTTTATTAAATATGAATTTATTATTTGACTAATTAAAGTTAATGGTGCTGTAAGATATTAAATTAATTAACTAATCTATTAATTATATTTTAATGTATATGTTTTTAAAATATTTTATTGCATATAAAATATCGTAATTTTTCTAGATATTTAATTGGAAACAAATTGTCATCAATTGCTGATTTTACTTTTTTAAGGAATAATTACATTAAATTATTGTAAGTAATTATATTTTATAAATATAAAGTACTAAAAATATTTATCAATTTCTCTGATTAATTTGTATTTATTTTAGAGTAATTTCATTCAACAAAATACAATATTTGGATAATGGATCGTTTATAGGATTAAGAAATCTTAGAGAATTGTAAGTTTTATACTTTTATATAACTTTTATTTACAGTCAAATCTCGATATAACACTCTCCTAAATAGCGCAATCCTCGTAAAGGCTTCAATGAATACTTGTAAATAGACTAAACCTTAAACGTTAAATAAAAAAAAACAATTCAGCATCTGTAGATTTTGCATTACAAAAGGTATTATCACCAAACTATGTGACTTTCGAATAGAAGTGAGTACTTCAATTATCCGCAAATACCTAAAACGTAACAATTTGAAAGCCCAAGACCTATGAAATTACATAAACAGAAACGTCTTAATTTTGTCAAACGTTATAAAGATTGGACATTAGAAGATTGGTCAGATGAATCTAAAATTAATAGAGTTGGTTCAGAGAGAAGATGGATATGGACTACATCGATGAAGTCTATAACTGAGCGAGAAATACAAATAATATTGAAATTTGGTAGTGGTAGTCTTATGGTCTGGGCTTTATTACCTATTCTGGGCCTTCTATACCTAATGAAATGGATAGAGTTATTTACACTGAGATACTTGACAATTATTTGTTACAATTTGTTGATTATTACCATATTGATAGGAGCTCTTTCATTCATCAGCAAGATAATAATCAAGAACATACATCCAGGAGGGTAATGTCATGGCTTCGGGATCAAAATATTAGCCTGCTTGAGTGGTCGCCTCAATCGCCTGATCTCAATCCGACTGAATATATCTGGTCCCTTCTGGTCCTGGCCCACACATCGCTTGTCTGACTGTATCCACAAATTATAGGAACGTGTACAGGATGAGTGGAACAAAATAACATTGCACGATTACAGGAATATTATTAATTCTATATCTGATTAGGAAGGTTTTAAAAGCAAAAGGAGGCTATACTGATTATTGAACTGTACTTTTTCCACAAATATGATATAGACTTTTTTCTGCATCAAAATCCCCCAATGTATATGTTCTTTGTATGTTACTATTATTAATAAAATTATTACGTTGTTCAGATAAATATATTATAATTATATACGTAAACATACAGTATTTAAACATTTAATAACTGATTTGATTCTTAAATAACACTTTCTGTATTGAAGGGATTTACGTAATTGTGAACTTAAATCTCTAAATTCGGAAACATTCAAGCCTCTAAAAATGTTGGAAAGTTTGTAAGTTTCTAAATTATTTTTATTAAATTACAAATATTCCCATTTATTTTAATATTAACCATAAATTAAAATATTGTATTATAGATTATTAGATGGTAATCAACTAGAAGAGTTCGAGCAAGGAATTTTTAAATATTTATCGAAGTTAAAATTATTGTGAGTTAAGGAAACTTATTACAAATTTATTATTAATTTAAAAACAATAATTAATATATAAACTTCTGTATAAATTAGATCTCTGAGAAGAAATCGAATAAAATATATTAAAGAGGAAATTTTCTATGGTCTTCATTCTCTTAAAGCATTGTGAGTTAATTTATCTCTCTTGCCTGTGTACAATAAATTATTTATTATTTTATGTCTTAACTTTAAGATATGTTATTTAATTATTATTATTATTATTATTTATTAAAATTTTACATCAATTAGCAATTTTATTAATATATTCAACTGATCTTAAATAGCGAATGTCTTATCTTAATTTAGTGAAGATTACTGAATTTAAATTTCTTATTATTGTTTGAAATTAAATTTTATATAAATTTAGATCATTTTAAATGGCATATAGACATATATGAATTTTTAGTATTTATGTTTTTTTTATGAAGATCTTTAAGTTGGAATGAATTATCTCAATTAGATGAAGATAGTTTTGGAAATATTTCGTCATTAATTAATTTGTAAGTAATTAAAACATAAATTGTTTTTTTATATTAACTGACGAACATGTTTTTATAATAGTTTTTTTATATATATATAGGAGTGGTTTAAAACTGTTGTGTAGTAATTTTGTACATTCTCGTGACGTATCTTAATTCTGTATCAAATTTCAACCTTCAACTCCTAACCGCAGGGCCGTGCGGTAGATTTTCTCAGTGTGACACAAGTCTTCGAAATGCTGCCTCTTAAATGCCACTTATGCCTCCCCATCTCTGCATCATAGCAAGGCACGGTCCTGCCTAATCCTTTGGGCTCTACGCTTATTATTATTGTTATTATTATTATTATACAGTATTTAGTGGGTTATACTCGGTTGATACCGGTGGCTGTGTACTATGCCGGATTAGAGTCAAGGCATAGCAATCAAAAACTAAAATTAAATAAGTGTGTCAGTGTCTGTATTCAGGGATTTCCTAACAATATGGCATGTATTCAATATAGTGGCCTTCTGTAGTGTGATATATGTATTTCTATTCAATTGTAATGTTTCCAGGCTTTTGTGTAGTGTGTGTGGTATCACACCTGTACAGGAGAGAATGACAGATACTGTACTGTACAATAAGCACCCTTTCCATTCTCCACAGATGCCTCATTTCCTGGGCGAGTTCTGTGTACTTACTAATTTTTTCAGTGAATGTATTTTGTACATTGTGAGTGTTTGGAATGGCTATATCTATAATGTATGTGATTTTATTGTGTTTGTCAATGAGTGTGATGTCTGGTCTGCTGTGGTAAATTGTTTTATCTGTGATTATGGTTCTGTCGTAGTACATTTTGTGCGTGTTGTTTTCCAATACTAACTGTGGATTGTGTATTTGTAGTATGGTTTGTGAATGTCTAATAATTTGTGTTTGTTTGCAAGCTCTTGGTTTATTATATTTGCTACTTGATTATGTCTGGGAAATAATCTGTCTGTGCTGTCGCGTCAGGCCGATTCTTGTCTCGTATGATGATTAATTAATTTTCTTAAGTCTCACCTGACCGTCTTGTTCGTACGCCAGGTTCCCGTCGTTTCTCCAATCAAGAAAAGTTCACTAAGTCTGGCTTTAGATTTTATTCACACAAAAACCAACAAATCGACTATTTACAATAATTCGATAGGAAAAAGCATTCCGCTATATTCTCGTACCTTTTTTGCAACTTAACACCACCGTCTTGGTGTTGCCAACTCTCTACAATAATAATATTAAGCATTAAATATTAACAATAAAAAACCATAAAAAGCTCCCGTCATCCAGCGGGATGAACGGGTCACTGTGCCAAGAGCTTGCACCCAGAAGTGATGTGTTGTATAGTTTCTGGCATGATGTGACATTTTCTGCATGTGTCATTTGTGAGTGTTGTATCTTTGAGTATGTGTTTTCTGTAGTTTTTAGT